GCCTGATCCTGGGCCAGCCTCACTACTGTTACCACACTTGAGTTCATCAATGCTGCTACTTGGCAAGTCCATCTCAGTGGGGCTCTTCCTCTTTTTCTCTGACTCTCCACCATACTAAACATGATATCCTTCTCTAGCAACTGGTCCCTCCTGACAATATGTCCAAAGTATGAGAGACGAAATTTGGCCATCCTGGCCTCCACCAGTCGTCTGTCAGTTTATCTTACTGTGGTGGCTTGTGAGTTGCTGTGATTCTGAAAGCTATACCACCAGTATTTTAAATAGCAGCAGGGTCACTCATGGTGGACAGGTTTCAGATGAGCTTCCAAATGAAGACAGACTAGGAAGAAGAAGTGACGAACTACTTCTGAATATTTAGTCACTGAAAACCTTATGAATAGAGTACATAGTGGGGCACTATTATGGAAACTTCCCAAACTAACCAAAAGTCTTGTGGGACTGAATTACTGGATTAGAAGGTAGAGGACTGTGGTCTCTGGTAAATTTGTTTTTAGATGCCATTGAATTGGTACTGACTCATAGCGACACAATGAAACTCTGCCTGGTCCTGGGCCAACCTCACAATTGTTGCTAGGCTTGAGCCCATTGATGCTGCCACTTAGCGAATCCATGTCCCTGAGCATCTTCCTCTTTTTCTCTGATCTTCCACTTTACCAAACATGATATCCCTTGGTATAGCATAATTCAGAAAGATATTCTACATCCTAGTTTCATGAGTAGCATCTGGAGTCTTAAACACTTGTAAGCAGCCATCTTTAATACAACCATTGATCTCTCACATAGAACAAAGGAGAGTGAAGGAAACCAAATACTCAGTGAAACCATAAGTCACAGGACTTAACGACCTGCATGAAAGACAGCTTCTTCTAGTCCAAGACCAGCGAAACTCGCTATATCAGTGTCCATGTTGTTGTTAAGTGCCATCAAGTCTATTCAGACTCATAATTACCCTGTGCAGGCATGTGGTGGTGTGTCGTGTAGTCGGTTCTGACTCATAGCGACACTGTAGGTTTCCGAGGCTGTAAATCTTTACGGGAACAGAAAGCCTCATCTTTCTCCTGCGGAATAGCTGGTAGTTTCAAACTGCTGACCTTGAGGTTATCAGCCCAACTCATAACCACTATGCTACCAGAGCTCTTTGCACAGGCATGTTATTGTTAAGGAACGTTGAGTCAATTCTGACCCATAACGACCCTGTATAGGGTTTCTAAGGAGCATGCCCTGAGCTTGGACCACCAACCTTGCAGTTCAAATAATTTTGCAGTCTCATGCATTAGCCCCACATGTATGTAGTAGGCAATTATTTGGTGAATAAAATATTTATTTCAGAATGAATGACTGAGTCAGAGTAAAGCTTGCAAAGAGCTCCAGTGCTTCCTGGCATAGTGTTAAGTTCTCATTTTCCTGGTGAAATATGGTGTTTGGCTCAGACTATAGGTTGTCTAGAGTTCTGCCAATTGTGTGGAGACATTTCACCAAGTAGGAGAGAGGGATAACTAAGATCTGTAGATCTGTTCCTTTTCTCCCCTTGCTTTAAGTGTCTACTGTAAGTGTTAACTGGTGTGGGGGATGGGAAAATGTATTGGGATTGATGTATAGCCTCAGTAAGTATCTGGGTCAGCTACTGATTAAAGAAATTGCTCACTGTGGCAATGATTGGTTACCCCTGAAACAAGCAGCTGTCACATTCCAAACTGTTTGCCCAGTGAGAGTTGAGTCTTGTCCTTTACATTTTTAAGCATTCTTAAGAGAACAGTCAACCCTCTGTGTATGTAATACCTATTAATGCTGTGGGAAGTGCCTGTATAGTAAAAACAAAACAAAACAGGAAGGGTCCCTTTGTGCTTTTACAAAAAAATAAAGCTTACATTATTAGATTATCAGTGTCTGAGAATACAGGTACCCAGCAGGTAGGCAGAAGTGATATGGAAGCTAACATTTTTTAGGAGCTTTATCTCTCAGACATGAAATAATGCCCTTTTCTTTGAAAATTATGGTTAGCAGGTACTTGGATTGAAGAAAATGAACTAGTTTGTTTAAAGGAGCAGTCGAAGAAAGGTCTTTACATGTTCACAAGAGGTACAGAAGGTGCTGGTTTCATTGAGTGTCCTTGAAATTTGAAAAGTTAGCTATTCTTTATCTTTTCTTCTCTCTCTATTTCCTCACAGTACTCAACCCAAGGTAGTACTGATTCTAAAATGTCATCTTTTTTGAATGGAGGCTCATATGTATATTAGATATAATTTTCTGGCCCATTAGCCTTTTAAAAGACCTTGCCCATTTGTTTTTTTATACTAATTATGTTTAATAAATAATCTCTTAAACAGATGAACTTCTTAGGGAAATATTGTTTAGGAGAAAGTGTGTGACACCTATTATAAAAATTTTTATAAATGACATTAATGATACCTCCCACAGCACTCTCTACTCTACTAGGTTCAGTGATTCACTGCAGTGACCACATAGGACTCAGACAGCATAGTTACAGGAACTCATTGTAAGTGAGTACTTCATGAATAAGGGAACATGGGACTCCTTTGGTAAATAGTCCTTCATCATACTTATTCAACCTGTATGCTGAGCAAATAATCTGAGAAGCTGGGTTCTATGAAGAAAACTTGGCATTAGGATTGGAGGAAGACTCATTAACAACCTGTGATGTGCAGATGATACAGCCTTGCTTGCTGAAAGTGAAGAGGA